GAGGGGGGTGGAGAGCTATGATCGCCTACGTCCTGAAAGGACATGGCACAGGCACCTAAAAAGAAAGAAGACAGTTACTGCTGAACCAGTGTTTCACTAACTGTTACAGGGATTGAACTGTTGTATATAACTAGTTTCTACGTTACCGTCCAGACATTGTTATTAAAGGCCACAAACAAAGAAAAAATGCCTCCTTATTGATATGGCAGTCCCTGCAGACTGCAATGTATATTTGACGATATTCAAAAAGCTGTGAAAATACAAGGACCTTGAAATAGAAATCTCAAAATGTGGCACATGGGAACACCAACAATCCCTTTTGTAGTTGGAGCTCTAGGATTGGTAGGAAACGATTCCAGTAGACTAACTGAAGGGATTCCTGGAAGTCCATGCCTCAAAGTGACACAAAAAATCGTTCTGACAAGTACAGCCCACAATTTACTTTATCGATGTAATTTTTTTTTTTTTGTCATTGGAAAGTGTCATGGTGCCATTTCTAACCTTAGGTCCCTGGGCGGGACACGGAAAGAAATGTGTAAACGCCAGAAATCAAAGGAAATAATAATAATAATAATAATAATAATAATAATAATAATAATAATACATTTCTATTTCATGCAAAACCTTTTTATAATTTATGTCAAGCCAAACGTTTACTGAATGCATTCAAGTCAGGTTAGAATATTTTGTAATTTTTTGACTAAAATTCGGGCAACCAGCAATTTTCACCGATTTCCTCGGATAACCTACCTCACTCGAATAATCAACTTCCGTGTATAAGTGAATGAATAAATTATTAAATAAAGAATGAAAAAAAGGTTATCATATTCAATATATATTGCTATTAAATAGAAATTGGAAATATTTTCATTTAAATAAAAAATCCACCGCACTCCATTTGTTTATTTTAGTTATCACAAAATCAATTTGACTTGGTCTAATATTTCATCAGAGGTTCATTAATATTTTTCTAAATTACCTGAAATGTTCATATCAGCCAATCTATTGAGCGATTGTCTCGATTGCCATTATGTTTGTGTCAATCGTGAGCATTTGTTGAAAGTCTTCAGGAAAGGTAATACATTTTAAATGACTGAATTGTCTCGATGAAAAGCGTTTTATTACACTTGTTGAAAATGTAATATTTTTGATATATATATATATATATATATATATATATATATATAAATTATAACTAGAACCATTGAAAGTTATAAAAGATAAATGTACTAAGTGCTTCGCATTCGAGCGATTTCTCAAAAAGTACATCCTTAGAATAAACGCCAGCGCAGTTTCTATATAAGGCATTTAAGTTTAACCCTTATCCAAAGTAGTTTTTTTCGGAATTTGGAAATGCTTTGTTGGTGAATTTAGACCGCCAAAGTTAAAAGTCCATAATGCTCTAAATAATGATTTAAATTGCTTGAAAATTTATTGGATTATTCGTCTATCTTTAAGTTTTAATTGGGTTTGAAACTTGTGACGTCATCAAACATTTGAAAAGTAAAAAAAAAAAGAAAAAAACAAACGTTTCAATGCAATGGCTTCCTGTAAAATGCAGTAATCCATGCTGAATGTACTTTTAAATACTTGTACAATTAAATCATAAAATACATCCATTAGAAGATTAAATTGGGCTATACGTAATTTTCTAAAGTTAAATTAACTCACGTTATCAAAAATAGGCTGACGTTACCATTTTTTTTCACATTTTATTGGACCATTCGTAGGAGAAGGTTACAGAGTAAGAGATACAGCTTATGCAGATATTTGAGGAAGATTACGGTTAACCCGAGAATTGAACAGTTTATGATTTTAGTGATCGAGAAAGCAGCATCTTGGGAGTCGGTTCCACAAGGCAGTAGCTCGTGGAAAGAAGCTGATTGGGTTGAACTTACATCTAACCAGGGGATATGAAGGAAATAACAGTGTTTCGATACAACGAGTCTGGCATGGCGGGTTTTAGGTTAGGACTGATGAAACTAATTTTGTAGTTCATCTGAACACTCACCATTGAAATAACGATAGAGCAGTAAGAGTCTAGCGACGCCTCTTCTCTGAGAAAGAGATTAATGGATGGAAAATAATTCGTCACCTACAAGGATTCGGATACGCCTTTGGACTCCATCGAGAGGGGATGTTAAAGACTGGGCAGCTCCTGTCCATATATGACAACCATTTTCGGCCAGTCTCTTGTAAAGCTAGAGGATAGAAGTAGACGTACTTGCTGGAGGGTTATCGTGAACCGACCATTTTCCTAGAAGCTTCAGCGTTGGATCGTATGTATGAGTTCCACTTGAGGTTAGGGGAGAGTTTAAGTACCACTAGGCGCTCAAGATATGCGACCTCACCGAGGAAACATCAGTTTATTGCAATAGATGTAAATTCTGGGTCAGATTGGCGATGATTGAAGATCACTAGTTTCGTTTTTGAGGCATTGAATGTAGCCAACCATTTTTTTTTTCCTTACTTGGCTTCTAGAGGTCAGAGAGGAGCTCAGCTGCCAAGCTGTATTCATCGAGGGTTTTGGGGGTGCGCCAATATACTGTTGTATCATCAGCACAGATATTCACAAAAGGAGCATTCGTTGTATTGACAAATTTAGAATATCTCACAAAAGTTTTCATCACAGTCTACTTTTAGCAACATATTTGGAATCAATATCTCAACTCTAAGGACCCAGTATTATTTTAATTTTGTGCTCGAGCAGAAAGCTCCTTCGCTGATGGGGATAGGTTTAAACAAATGCAAACAATAATGTACATATTAATGACTTTAAAAAATCAATCTTTGGATTGGTTTAGGACAAATGCAGATTATTATTGGTATTTAAGTTACTCAGAACTAAGGCAACTTGATAATAAAACAAAGTTTCAATGTAAGTTTATTAAACTTCTTTCTATGGTTGGAGCTCATATGCAAATCGAAAAACAGGTATACAGGGTACAGTGGGCAAATTATCCCCATTTTATATTTTTAATTTCGCGGATGTGCGTTGTTTCTATTTGATTTTGTCTAGTGCTAGGTAGTGCTGCCCTGGCTCAAGAGGGTGCTTGTTGGAAGAGCCAATATCTGGTAACCGGACTCTGCACCAAATTACACAAGCAGGAGAACCCTGTCATGCCTATCAGATATCACCCCTTACATCTAGCTACCTAACTCCCTCTGGTTATTATATATGGGGGTGCAGTTGAGCGAGAAACCAAAAATGAACTGAAGTCAAGGATTATGGCAGCATTCCCCAACGTAAACAAGGAGACTGTCCAGAAGTTTTGCAGGAGATTCTAAAGTCGTCTGGAAACCGTGACTGAAACCAATGACGATTTTATTTAATAAAATTACTCTTAAGTATTTTCATATATTGTTGTGCAATTTTGTTAAAATGATATGGCACAGTTATTTTCATTTTTGCGTAATTTAGGCGACGATTTATCCATCGTAAAATGTAGTTTTAATCAACTCAAAAAATACGAAATGTGAAAATGTCCCATCTCCATTTGGTAAATCAGAGAATATCAGCGGAGTAATTTCTTATCAGAATAAATATAATAACTGACTTTCTTGGTTGGGCGAAATAAGATACAAATCGAGAGATACTTGCTTTGGATTTAGCGTACAATAAAATATGACCACCGGAAGTCTTGTCATCATAATATAGTTCATGTCAAAGCATTCAGTTCTAAACACTTAAGAGCTCTTTGCGCCAACAATCGTCGGGCACGAAGATGAAAGTAATGATGGGTGTTAAAGAAGAAAAAGGGGCGTTAAAAATGTAGGATGCGTAGATCCAGGTATTTGAAGCGGGAGCGGTTTAAAGGAGATGCTTGGACAGAAATGGGATCAGACGCCTCAGTCGATTGTAAGAGGTGGGGGGGATTTTTTATGTCCCCGCCCTAACTGCATAAAACGTTGTATCTGATGATGTAAAATGATTTCAAGGAAGCCGACATGAAAGGAAATGGATAGAAAGAAAACAGAATGAGAAAACGCAAAAGAAAAATCAAGTTAAAAGAAAAACGTGGAGAGAACTACTACTGCTACTACTACTACTACTACTACTACTAGTACTACTACTAATGATGATGATAGAAGGAAATGAAGATTTTAATAAGAAGAAAAGGAACGGTTTAAATTGGCATTGGAGAAACAGTAGTAAACCCTTATTTGTTGGTGTAAAATTAGCTGGAATAATAGAAACACAATATTTACATTATTCGGACAGTTGTCATCATCTTTACTCTAATATTTACGCGGTTTCAGTCGTCGTACGCTCCGGCCTTCAGGTGATATACGTTGGAATTTCGAACCGAACCTTTTATTTTGTCAACAGGGGTAGATTATTCCCGTTCCACGTGCCATGACTTTTCTGGATATCTCAGTTTCAGTTATTCCCTTTTAGTAACTCAACTCTATAATTTTTTGTTCACTTCTGCTGTGGCCAGGTATTGAACTCACAACTCTTTAGATCAGGTCACTAAATTACTTCGACCAACGATTTTATCCACTGAGCCACTAAAAAGTGAAATAACTGAAAATGATAAATCCAGAAAAGGTATGTCTCGTAGAACTAGTACAACCTACCCCAATTGATTAAATAAAAGGTTCAGTTAGAAGTTCCAACGTATATCAAATGAAGAAGACCGGCCCGTACAACGGCTGAAACGTTGGGAATATTACAATAAAGAAGAGAATAACAGTCCGAACGCTGTAAATAGGTATAATACTTTTTCTCATAAAGATAGAATGTTATATTAGTAAATAAGAATTCAAAGAAGAATCTAGATTTATTTATTTGTCAAGGCTTATCAATGTTTTTGCAGCTTATTTAAAGATATAGAATATTTTTTGGATTGTAAAATATTTTGGCAATGATAAAGATTTACTGATATACGTTCTTCTATTTAAATTATAGCTGCTGTATTTGGGCATAATAGAATATAACGAACCCGACTGGAACTGGAACACATACTAAGGTTTCCAATTGCCAGCCACATATCCAAGCTTGCAACACCTGGTATTCTCAAGCAGTCATCCATCTATGTACTGACAAGGCTCGATGTTACTTAACTTCAATGATCAGACGAGAACTGGTGTTTAAACGTGATATGGCCGCAAGTCAGAAGAAATATTTAGAAAGTGAAATAGGATCTTGGACTAACAAAATAATGCATGGGTAATTTTTCAGGAATATAGATGAGAGATAAAATGGAGAAAAGTTGCTAAAAATGGAAACATAGGCAACGTTGAAGAAAAGATTAGAATAAACAAGACTTGAGAACAAAGATTTTGTGCTATGCAGAATGCGCAGTAAAAAAGAGGAGCCACTGTGTATTAAGTGTATGCAGCATGTTGATGCATACGACAGTATAAAGTGGGACCAGGGTATGTAATCGTAGTTGAGTAAGAAAAGGAAAAGAAGAAATGTATAAAGATTTTGAATATATGTTAGCAGGTTTGTTGGAGTTTAAGGAAATAGAACCGATAGCTTTTGTTGTTGGGATTTTGGAGCAGTGACAGGCATAGACCAAAAATGGCTGGGAAAAAGTGATTCTGAGATGTTTTAGAAAAACATAACTAGTTGGGAAAACTACAATTCTGATTTTTTGTTATAAAACAGTAAAGAATAGGCAGGAATCATGAATTGTTATGACCCACACATTATCGTTAAATTGCGGCATAAGATCTACTTGAGATTATTATTATTATTTTTTTTTATTTTCTTTGATTTCTAGCGTTTACACATTTCTTTCCGGGTCCCGCCCAGGGACCTAAGGTTAGAAATGGCATCATGACACTTTCCACTGACAAAAAAAAAAAAGAATTACATAGATAAAGCCTTTCGTAAAGTGTGGGCTGTACTTGTCAGAACAATGTTTTGTATCTCCTTGAGGCATGGACTCCCAGGAATCCCTTCAATTAGTCTACTGCAATCTTTTCCAACCAGTTCTAGGGATCCAACTACAACATGGATTGTTGATGTTCCCATATGCCACATTTTCGAGATTTCTATTTCAAGGTCCTTGTATTTTGACAACTTTTTGAATATCTTCAAAGATACATTGCAGTCAGCAGTGACTGCCATATCAATAAGTAGGCACCGTTTTTGTTTGTGGTCTTTAATAACAATATCTGGGCGGTTGGCCTTGATTGTTCTGTCAATTTGTATTGTGTAGTCCCATAGAATTGTAACAGGTCGTATCTCCGTAACCGGGTCTGGGTGGTGTTCATACCAGTTTCTTTCAGTTTCCTTCCCGTAGAAGTTGCAGATTTTATTATTATTATCATTATTATTATTATTATTATTATTATTATTATTACCTTTGATTGCTGGTGTATTCTGTTTTCTTCCCGGGTCCCAACCAGAGATCTAAGGTCAGAAATGGCATCATAACATTTCCCCTGAGCAATTTTGAGGAAAAAATAAAACGCATATGATCACGCATATTTTACATAGATAAAGACCTTTGTAAGGTGTGGGCTCTATTGGAAATATATATTTTTTGTATATCTTTAAGACATGGGCCACCAGGAATCCCTTCAATGAGACTATTAGAATCATTTCGAATTAAATCCGATGCCTCCAACTACGGCTGGAATTGGTGATGCCGTCATGTGTCACATTTTTGAGATTTCTACTTCAAGATCCTTGTCTGTTGATAGTTCTTTGAAGATCTTCAAAGATACATTACAGTCTGCATGGACTGTCATATCACTAACAAGGCACATTTTGTTTTTGTTTTCTTTGATCACAATGCATGATGATTATATTTGATTGTTCTGTCTGTGTGCATTGTAAAATCCTACAAAATTGTCACAGGTCCCATCACTCTAAACGGGTATAAGTGCTATTCATAGCTGTTGTTTCCTTTCCCTAAAAAGATGCATATTTGACTCACTCCTTTTATGTCGTCTTTTATATTCAGTGGATGCCAATACCGTGCAACCTGATACAATATGGTTAATTTTATCAATATTTATTAGAGAATCTACATTTTGGTCTAATATAATTTTTCAGTATGTGTTTTTGGTAAGTTTTGTTAGCAAGCATAAGTTGTGTGCAGCAAGAATAAAACATTTGGTTTCAGGTTTTAACCCTGCACTACGTAGCCAGTGATGGGTACGGGGTTTGTCTACATCAGTTTGTTTGGTAAGGACAGAATATTAACGGTGAAAAGGATTATACTACCATCGTTTCTTCATCTAGTCGATTGCATTATCTCTTGCTCCATTTTTTAATGTTTTTTAGTGCAGTAGGTGTATTATATTTTACGTGCATTTTTTCATCCACTTGAAACAGCATTTTGAAATTGTGTGCTTCTTTAATTACTAAATAAAGTTTCTTACTTCTTTCATGTTCTTTGACACATATTATCATCCAGTCTTTTACAATTTCCAGGTATCTTTGAAGGACAATTGTTCTTGTTTTGTTAGACAGTTCATGTTGAACTAATGCTCGGCCTCCTTCGGATCTGGGCACACGATCAACATCAATCTTGGGATGATGCATTTTGCAGGAAGTGAGATGCTTTCTTGTTTGGGCCTCCATTCACTTTAGTCCAGTTAAAGATGTTGAAACTGAATTGCATTACACGAACAGTCAAGGTGTTTATGGCTGATATTCTGTATTTTTCTTTTTTAATTCAGCTCGGTTTTCAATACCAGACGCACACGCATGTAGTGTTCTTTTCTTGCTTTTTCCTTCATTTGGGTATGCTGTATTCCACCTCCTTCGCTAATTCTAAGGTACTTATAGGCTTTTTCCTTTTCCAGTCTCCTAATCTTTGTGAATAAATCTAGATCTATTGAGCATGTTTCTTTAATTCAACTTATTGTTGTCTTTTGCAAAGAGTTTGAGATCCTCCATTTAGAGTAGGCGATTTCTTGTTTACTTTGTATCCATAGGCATTATTTTTAGTTCATGTGTAAGGAGAATTAAGGACAAACAAAACAGAAGGTGTGACAGGATGTCTCTTTGAATGATTCATCGTCGGATATTCAGGTGGTTGGAAATGGTAGGGCCCTAGATGCATAATGTTGTTTTCCACGTGCCAATTCTATGTTTAAGAAAATTTACTATCACCGAGCAAACTTTATCCATTTCCAAAGTCTTAAAAATCCAGGTATGTGGAAAGCTATTAAAGGCTTTACGGTAATCTACTGTGCTGTGATTTCTACCACTTTTCCTGCAGCTTTTCAGGATCATTTTTTTTCATCAATAGTTGATCTTTGCGACCATGTGAATCTCGTCTGCATTTCTTCTATTCCCAGGGAAAGAATATATTTGTTATTTATCTATCATTTTTTGGATCATCTGTTTCACCCATTTTTGGTAGGAGATATGGAATACGATCAGTGATCCATTCTGCGACTTCAATGGGATTACGAATAAACATTGATAAAATTTGTGCAAGGGTTTTATGGATTGATGACAGATGATAGAGAAAAAATTGGGTACCTTCGCATTTCTTGGGGATTTCACTTTCTTTGGATTACATTAGAGCTTGCCTAACATTATTCGTGGGAATATTTTCCCATTCCTTTATAGGTTTATTCCTCATTCGTTCTTCCTCACGTTGGATCCATTCAGCATTGGGGTCATATTCATTTAGGCAACTTCAAATATTGTCCCAAATTTTCTGTACATTTTCTATAGATGTTGGCTTTTTTTTTTTGGCTTAACAGCTTTTCCAATTCCCTTTTAATACTTTTTTTTGGCGATAGAACCTACAATGTTTTTCGTATCGTCTTTTCTTGTTTCTTTAACTGCAGTTTCTGTTCTAGTATTTCTTTGATTGGTAGAATGTCATTTAGCAATTTAATTTTCTATCACTGCTTGATCTTCCTACATTTGCGTGTTATCATATTTAGTTTTCTTGAAATCTCATCTACCACCAATAAATCTCATCCAATTTCCTTTACAGTTCTCGCTTCAGTTTTTCCTTCCAAGCTGGATCATTTTGTCTGTTGCTTTATCTTTTCATTGTCTTCACACCAAGCTTCCAAGTAGCTGCTAAATCTTTTGCGTATATGACATTATTTATTTGTGTGATGTTTCCTGGTGGTTTGAATGTTAACAATGTTTGCAGTGCAACGTTGTATATTTGCACAATTTGTTTATTGGAATCAATCATATGAATTTTGGGAGCTGTTCTCTGTCTAACATTTTGCGCAGATTACTCTGCTGAGTACTTGAATAATGTAGTTTTTCTCTTCGGTAATTTGTTGTTTCGAAGAATTTTGCCCTAGCGTCTTTTGAGTCATCTTCAAAGACATAATCTGGAAACATCTTTTGTTTATGTCGTACATATATTCTTTAGTTGTATTCTCTGAAAGTTTATTATTTCGTGTCTCATGTATTTTTGTTTTTACCTCATCTTCTGTTATATTATTTATTTCCAGTCTCAGCTCTCTACTGTTTAAATGATGGGCTATTTTATTCTTTCTTATATTTAGTTTTATTTGATCTATTTCCGCATTTTTATTTCGCACGATGCCCCTGAAGACATTAGCAAGCATGTTTGGGTTGAGATAAAGTTTTCTACCAGTTCCTACCATAGTTCTTCATATTTTGCATGTCCGATCCGTGATATTCTTGTGTTGATTTTCGAGTGCGGTGAAAAATGATGTCTTAATGTTCTGATACTCTTGAGTCCATTTTGTTCGCTTTCTTTGTACTAATTTATTTAGCATCGAATCACTTCGACCAAGGTTATAAAAATTAGAGTTTGGTGACCAAATGTCTCATCTTTGTTGGAAAAGTTTGTTTCAGCAAAAGATTTTTCCGCACCAGACTGGTTCCTATTTGAGGGACGCGGACCATCCTGACCCGGATAACGGCCGATCCGTAATGAATATTTGCTTGTAAGCATTGAGATTTGCAATTTTTATGGTATTTTAAATTTTACCGCCAGCGGGTAATTTTGTTCATGATACCAGCTCTAGGACGACTGTCGACCAAGACTAAAGTGTACGTCCAACCCTAAATTCACTAACAAAACAGGCTGACGGCCACATCACTTTAAAACAGCAAAGTTAAGTAAGAACATCATGTACTGTAAGCTTGGATGTGCAGGTGGATTAATGGATAATGTCTCAGAATTGTTAATCGGAAAGCC